AAGACAAGCGTAAGGGGCTCTCGGTGAAGGTACCGCACAACGGTTTTAAAACGAAGCGTCGCCTTCTCTGCACAACTGAATTGCAGAATTCACTGCTACAGATCCCCTGAAAACAAATCCTACCGAGGAGCTCAAAAGCTACCGGACAGGCTGCTGACCAGCAAGAAGAGGAGGTTAAAGCCCACTGAGGTATCGCCCCAAGCAGGAGACACGGCAACAGAGCGGAAAGCAAAACTCAAGGAAGTCACTTTCCCTTGGAGGCGACAACAAGAAACTCCAACCTAGAATTTTGAAGTCACTGATGAGGCAATAGCAGGTCCCATGCGAAAAGTTTTAAATGCAGCCACGTTTGCGGTAAAGCTGCATGCTGCAAAAGAACTGTTTATCCCTGTACATAAAAGGGATTTAAAAAAGTGTATCAACAACTACAGTTCAGAGCAACCTTGCTGTGCTGATGCGTAAGGCTTTGTAACAGGTTTTGCACGATGATCCAAGAAGTCAAAAAAAGATAAGATGAAAACACAGATTGAAGGTAAAGCACATCAGATGACCCAAAATCATCAGTTCCAGGAAAAAGAGCAGACAGTATTTATACTAGTCCTTCATACACCGTCAGAGAGACTGCGTAGCTAGAGCTTGGAAGACAGATTGGGAGACAGACACACACACACACACACACAAAAAAAGGAGCCATTTCCTTCCCTCCCTGCAGTTCCACTTGTAATTAACATGCTTATCATTCCTTCCTGACTGGTTCATTTCAAGAGCTCCTCCTGGATCAGTTTTGGAACCAACCTTGACCTGTGTTTTCATTATTGACCTTGAAATTAAAAGTAGGCTGACAGTATCAGAAAAGAAGATTGTGTGGTACAGGAAGAACTGAGCTGCTCAAGTAGCGGGGAACTGGAGAGGGGACAGCTGTTACACACGAGCATCACATGGTTGTGTGTATGTAGGTGCCAGCGTCAAGAATTTCTCCTGTAAGCGGAGAAGAGGATGAAATAATGGATGCAGCTGTGAAAGAAACAAGTGCGGTCCAAGGTTGTGTCACATGGGGAATCGTGAGCGGAGATGTATTAATGCCCTCAGATGAGGCGCTCGCGGAACCCTGTGTCGGATAACTCTGCAACACCCGTCACTCCCATTTCCAAAAGAGGAATTTAAATGCGAGAACAGGACACTAGGGAGGGCCTGGCTTTCTCAGTCGAGTAAAGGTGGAACGGGGGAAACAGCAAACATCACCTTCACGCACTGAACATCAGCACTAGCTCATTAAACCCCACCTTTCCACAGGGATAAATTAAAGCAGAAGTTAGAACAAGGATGCTAACTGTTAGCGAGGGAAATGGGAGCAAGAGACTTGCCTATCTAACAAACGGTTTTAACCTTGTTGCTCACAACAGCTGAGACTGGAGTCCAGGCCCCAGGGTCTCCTTCCACACCGGTGGTCCCAAGCGACCGCTCCTGCCCTTGTTTTCATTTCACCCTGTGAGCACTCTCAGCTTGTTTTTCCAAGCACGTTAACAATCGCCATCAGGTCCAGGGAAGTTCTGCTCATAGCGTTTAATGCTCTTAACTGAAACACAGCAGCCAGTCTGAACAGCATTCATCAGACAGGAGCAAAGCTGTAATGCAGGCAAGCTGCTGAAGGGAGGCTGCGGAGGAGGAAGGGAAATAACCTGCAGAAGCAGGACACGAGTGCGCCCTGCAGGAGAGGGAAGTTCCTCTGGGGTGGAGACCCTTCGGTCTTTTAAAGCTGTGGAACTGTGACTTGCCTTCCCCTTCAGGTCAGCCAGCCAGGTTTGACATACTGTATTTCTAAAGATTCAGGTAGCAAGAGCTTTTATTCAATTATTTATACAATGTTGAGAAAAAAGTTCCTTGGAATTTTAATTTTAAATGGTCATTTTATCAAAATGCTCAGAATAACCTCAATGCCAAAAACCATGCCAACTGCTATGGCAGGGAGAAAACCAGAAGGGCCAAAGCCCAACTAGAACCTAATCTGGCTCCTGCCGTAAAAGACAATTAAAAATGTTTCTGTAAATACATTAGCAACAGAAGGAGGGCTAAGGAGAATCTCCATCCTTTATTGGATGCGGGGGGAAACAGTGACACAAGGATGAGGCAAAGGCTGAGGTATTAATGCCTTCTTTGCCTCAGTCTTTAGTAGCAAGACCAGTTGTTCTCTGGGTACAGACGCTGATGGAAGAGGGGGATGGGGAGCAGAATGAAGCCCCCATAATCCAAGGGGAAACGGTTAGCGACCTGCTACAGCACTTAGACACACACAAGTCTATGGGGATGGATGGGATCTACCCAGGGGTATGGAGGGAGCTGGCGGAAGTGCTCACCAAACCACTTTCCATCGTTTATCAGCAGTTCTGGCTAACCAGGGAGGTCCCAGTGGACTGGAAGTTAGCAAATGTGATGCCCATCTACAAGAAGGGCCGGAAGGAAGATCCGGGGAACTACAGGCCTGACAGTCTGACCTCCGTGCCGGGGAAGGTTATGGGTCAGATGATCTTGAGTGCCATCACATGGCACGTACAGGGCAGCCACGTGATCAGGCCCAGTCAGCATCAATTGATGAAAGTGAGATCCT